TGTGCGAATATTTATTGAAATATGAGTTGCTCGAAGGGTTTAGGAGGTCTCGTAGTCGAGTAGTCTCGACTAGAGCTTTCTTAGTTTTTTTTCCAATAGTAATATTTACTTTAATAATATTACACCAATAACACTAACTTAACACTATCTTATAACTGAAAAATAATTTTGTTTTATTTAATGTATTTATTTATTTATTTATTTATTTATTTATTTTCTTAAAGCTATTGACAAAAATGAGAGTCAATTTTAATTTAAAAAAGCCTATACAAAGTACACGATATAATTTCAATAGTAACACCAACCCGATGGGGGTATTTTATTTGCCAGTCCGGCCGGCTATGCCCACGTCTCACAGCCAAATATGGTCAGTGATACTATTGAAGCTATGAAAAGAAAGTGTTAGTAAGAAAACTTAAAAAAATAAAATATTAAAATGTAGGTTATTAAACAATATTTAGCATACTTAAAATAATTCTTAAAATAATAATAAAAAATAAAAAAAAATAATAATAATAATAAAAAAAAATAAAATAAAATAAATAAATAAATAAAAGGAGTTAAAAAAAAACAATAATAAAAAAGAAAAAAGAATAAAATAAGAAGAGGTAAAGTATAGAAAAGAGAAAAAAGGCCGGTAATAAGAGAAGTTGCAAGAAAAGTTAATAAAAAGAATAAGAAATAATAAAAAGAAAAGAGTAATGGAAGAGCCAAAAATAGAGTATAAGAATAGAATTGAGAAATCACTAACACAACATTAGCAGCAAAAGCGTATGCCAATGCTTATGCCTGGGCATTGTGAGTGATTTCCCTAAGATAAGCTGATAGTACACTTTTTATTTTAGGAGGAGAGAGCTCTAAGGAAAAAACGTGATAATATTTATTAAAATTAACACAAAGAACATGAAACGCACTGTGCAAAGAATAATCCCTAGTGCACACAGGTAAATGAAGCGGACGATAGTGTCTAGTTGCTCGGGACGGAACCAAAAAATTTAGACGACCCAACAAAGAGGACGAATCAATATCACCACTAATCAATTTATGCAGAAAAACAATTCCTAAAATTGTTCTGCGATTGGTTAGCGATGGAAGATCAATTAGCTGGAGCCTACTATGATAAGACGGTAATCGTAAATTACTGTCCCATCTAAGGTCTCTTAAGGCAAAGAGAAGAAACTGTTTTTGGACCGATTCGATACGATCCTGATACAGTTTATGTTGCGGAGACCATACGACAGAACAATACTCTAGGATAGGACGCACAAGCGAAGTAAATAAGCGCTTGGTAATAAAAGGATCTTTAAATTCCTTAGACCAACGTTTAATAAAGCCAAGCGCACTTTTGGCTTCATTAATTATGGTAGAAATATGAAGATTAAAGTTAAGTTTACAGTCAAAGAATACACCAAGATCTTTGACTGTAAAGATGCGTCGTAAGGAATTATTGCTAATTTTATAATCAACAATTAGAGGAACGGTACGACTGAAGGTCATTGTCATACACTTTGAGCAATTTAGGTCAAGCTGGTTTGCCACACACCAAAGTTGAAATGCATTTAGGTCATCTTGAAGGTGAAGATGTCCATTTGCCCTGGAGTATGGAAGGCAAAGTTTTACATCATCAGCATACATAAATATAGTGGAATACGAGATACAACTAGGAAGGTCATTTATAAAAAGGGAAAAGAGCAATGGGCCCAAATGGCTACCCTGAGGTACACCAGACGAAACAAAGATAAGTTTAGACATAGCTGTACTCAGCAAGACTCTTTGGGTTCTACCCGTTAAATAGGATGAAATCCAAGAGACAAGACTGGGTGAAAATCCTAAACGTTCAAGCTTAAGAATTAGTATGTAATGATGTACTGAGTCAAATGCTTTACTGAAGTCCGTATAAATAACATCGGTTTGCATTTTTTTGGAAAAGCTGTCATTAACAAGCGACGTGAACTCAAGTAAATTAGAGGACGTAGATCGATTTTGAACAAAACCATGTTGAGATGGTTGAATAATCGATTTGCAAAAATGCTGCAAGGCCGATGTTATGATTTTCTCAAATAACTTCGGAATAGCAGATAATTTCGCGATGCCTCTATAATTGGAAATATCAGATCTTCCACCTTTTTTATATAAGGGAATGATGAAAGATTCTTTCCAAATTGAAGGGAACACAGAAGTATCCAAGGACAAGTTAAACAATTTTAGTAATTGTGACTGAAGAGAAACACTGCACTCTTTAATCACACAACTAGGAATATTATCAGCACCAGGAGAGAAAGATGATTTCAATGTCTTAATGGCTGCAGCCAGAGAGGATGCAGTAACTTTGGGAGTATTTATAGATCCATATTCAGGAAGAGAATAAGGATATGAGTTGCTGTAGAGATCAGCAGAAGAATAAGTGGATTGAAAAAAATCAGCAAATAGATCAGAGGAATCCTGATCATTGCATGTTTTTTCACCTCCAAGGACAAATGAGGACGGCAAACCAGCGGATTTACGCTTCGAGTTTACAAATGAGAAAAATTGTTTGGGATCACGAGTAAACTGACGTTTGCAACGTGTAAGATAATTCTCATAACAGCTAGAATTTAAAAGATTGAAGTTTGACTTGGCAATGGAATATTTGGACCAGTCAATACTTGAACCAGACTTTTTGTAATTTTTAAAACATTTAGTTTTAATGTTTCTCAAGTTCGAAAGAGTTTTGGTGAACCAAGGTGGCTTATTTGAAACTGGCGAAATACGGCGGATAGGGACACAAACATCCAGAATAGAGTTTAAGGTAGAATAAAAAAACGATTCTGCTAAATTAATATCAACCGACTCATATAAAATAGACCAGTCTGTTGAATTAATTAGTTCGTTAAGCAAAACGAAATTGCATTTACGATAACAGCGACTAAGTTTAGAAGGCATTGGAGTAGTAGAGGGAGGATTATCGATAGTTAATAAAACCTCTAAAGTGGGGTGATATATATCCTCAGGTAAGGAGAAAGGAGTTGATCTCGCGACATTAATGAGCGAATAATGATTAACAAACACAAGATCAAGAGTACGATTAAGATGGTTTGAAATAGAGTTCATCTGAAACATAGACAGGTTAAACAATTCATCAAAAAGATAGTGATCAATTGTCGGAATAAAGTAATTTGCATTACAAGTTGAAGACCAAGAAGTGTTCGGAATATTAAAATCACCCAACACAAGAAGACAATCTCTATCATTTACATGTTCATTAACTTGTTTAATACAATTTATGTGGTGAGCATAAACTTGTACATCAGAAGAGGGAGGGATATAAGAACATGTGATGTATAATGAGCACGATGGCAGAGTTAATTTAACCGCTATAATCTCCACATCATAAAGGGACGAAAAGGTAAACAATTCAGAGTGGATAATGGACTTAACCGCAATTAACACCCCACCACCTCTGCGCGACGAACGGTCGAGTCTATAAATAGTGAAATTACTTGAAAGAATTTCACTATTATGAATATTACTACTTAGCCATGTTTCAGTGAAAGCGATAATATCATATTGTACACTGAAACTATGCAAGAAAAGACTTTTAAGTTTTGAGTTTAAGCCACGTACATTTTGATAAATCAGGGACAGCTGAGAAGAGGTTTGTAAGTAATTTAGTTTTTTGGTACAACGTTTGATGAAGATTGCACCGAAGGTAAATTTACTGAAATAGGCATCGATCTGTTACGATTTTTGGGTTTAAATTCATGAACAACTACATGAGGTGGCCAGAAATTAGGGTCACAAAGGGTTTTAAAGTGTTCTACAGGCACATTGATTTTGAACGAAGCAATTTCACGCGGTGTCGCGAAACTAAACTTCGATATAAAAACATTAACCGGAATCTTATTTGAGATAAAAGCCGATACTGCCTCAATGGTAGTGTCAGATGAAAGCCTAGATAAGAAAACTTGCTTTCTAGGAGAGACAACAGATAAGGTAATGCTATGAGAGGCTGACTTATTGACACTCATTGTTTGAGCAACAATAGAAGTAGCATCCAAATTTGGGACAGGGGCTTGAGTTTCAATAGAAGCCTCAATAGGAGAAACAGATATGGGACAAGGTGAAGGAGGATCTAGAGAATTGGGAGCCGACGACAAAACAGAAGCGCAAGGTGAGGGAGGAGCAAGCGAATTAGGTGACGGTACTATTACAGAAGGAGTTACCGACAACAAAGGAGTATCCAATTGAGAGAGAGGACTTTCAAAGCCGTACTGATATAAGATTTCCTCAGCAGCAGCCATGTCACTGGTCAACTGCATAGAAATCTTCTTCAGTTTTAAAAACTGAGACCTCACAGCACTATACATTTTAGAAAAGTTTATTTGTTTTTCCAAACAAATCGGACAAGACCAGCGTATGCCTCCACTACCAGCTTTAGTAGTAGACATAATCTTGTCATATTCACGCCCAGTAAGACCTGCACACTTAGTATGCATCATGTTATCACACAGCCAGCAACTTATAAATTGCGCTTGTGCAGAATCAACTGTTTGCCTGAAAGTGCAAGCTTTTTTGCAGCAACTCATATTGGCAATCGGGATAGATCACAAAATTACTGAATGTAAACAGAAATGTCACAACAAAGAGAGGTATAAATGTGTTGAGAGCGAGTCCAACAACAAACAGCCGTTACAGAGCGCAACGAAAATATATGTTGAGAGAGCGAGTCAACAACAAAAACAGCCGTTACGGAGCAGATCAAAAGTCCTCAGCGAGAGAGTATACTTGCACACCACAAAAATCAAAGATTCAAGAGAGCAACTTATGCACACACTCACACAAACTTAGAAAGAGTGAACTGGGGAGAGCGCCAACAAATAGAAACACTAAAGCAAAAATGCAAATAATGAAACTAATGAACCGACACTGCACACAAAGCTTCACAAATTAAAAAAGCAAATTATTAAAAACGCAGTGAACAACGGATCAAACCTTGCACAGGATAATATAGATATTTACTATATACAACCGAACCGCAATTATGTGAAATTTAATAAAAATAATTAACTAAGAAAACAAGAATAATTGAAGAGCACAATAGTAAACACGTCTGTTAACTCTCACTGAGAACTCTCTCTTGAGAGTGCTCGGACGCAGTCCCTCCTGTTCAAGTAGAAATTTGAAACTGATTACTTAAATCGGCGGCGTTGGCAGCGGCGTCGCTCATGATGTTGTTGAACCGTTGTGCAATTCTTCTTAGAATTGCTGGAGCTCTGGTTGGCGTATGCAGGAAGTCCGCCAGACTTGGTGTCAACATTGTCTGACGTCTTTATGCGTCTATGTCTATGTATGTCAGTGCGTGTGTGTGTGAGTTTCTGTTGTAAGCAGAAAAGAAACGAATAATTATTAAAATATCATTGGAATATATATTAATATTGACTAAAGTTAAATAAAACAATTATTTTATTTGTAAATGCTCAAACAACCAGTGTATTTGCCAAACCACTGGTGTATAGTATTTGCTATACACTTTTCGTGAATTTTAAAGAAAATGGGATGAATTTTGGGACTGTAATCAATAGATGACAAAGACTGAAATCCTGTTAATTACACATATGAAAATCTATATTTAAAATTTTGAGACTCTAGAATTATAGTTATAGTTTTTATCTGCTGACCGTGTATAGTACGGACATAGACACAAAATTTAAGTCTCAGACGACCGGAAGGGCGAATGAAGGTACAGACAGATGGATAGGGTTAAATTTCAGCTTGTCGTCCTGATCAAGATTATGTATACTTACTTAAGTTAAAAGCATTACATCCTGAAATCGTATTCAGTGGATTCTGGGTATAAGATGACAGATGTTCCGGGGCTCAGAATGTCCTTCGCCTAGAACCTTTATTCTTGTATACTTTTAAAATTCTGATAGGACCACAATAAATAATAACCTATATTAATATATAATCTGAAGATTCAATAATCGATTTGAATAAATTTGTGATAGTTGTTTTAATATTCGAATTTTAAAATATAGAAATACAAATAATGAACTATAGTCTTAAATTTATATTATTAGGTTAAAATCTGTAGATATATTAGTCCTTTGATCTTCTTGGTCTTCCAACTTTTCCTTTCCGTTGCGCTAGTGTTCCATTAGAATTTGAGGGGTTTTTAAGCAATTTATGCCAATCTTGTTCGCAAACTAGGCTAGCTCCCAACATTGTATACCTAAATAGTGAATTAAAACACATCAAAATTAATATATTAGTTTGCTGGCCTTTTTTTTATTTATTTATATTTTTTTTTGAGATGCTTATATTATAAAATATTTTTATCACATGTTTTCTATAAATGTTCAAAATTTTGTTTACAGAATTAGGCAATATAAATATACATTTAATTTTAATAATTTGGACCTTCAAGCTCTGAAGCTTTATGATCAAAGCGCATGAACGCATGAAATTCATAGCGTGTGTGTGTTTCTTGTGTAAGCAGAAACATGCAAAAAATGATTGAAATAGCTGTTGCTCGAGGGTTCAGGGATCTCGTAGTCGAGCAGTCTCAACTAGAGCTGTCTTACTTGTTACACTCTGAACTAGGGTTGTTGAAAATATATCGATATATCAATATATCGATTTTTTTATTTTAAAAAGAAATATTTATATCGGGATTTTTCTTTTTGGCCAAATACCTAATATTTTTTGTGATTTTTATACCCTGATCCCATTGAAAATGGGAAATCAGGGTATAATGTTTTTTTTTAATGTATGTAACAGGCAGAAGGAGGCGTGGTAGACCCCATAAAGTACATATATTCTTGATCAGGGCGGCGAGCTGAGTCGATTTGTCCGTCTGTCTGTCCGTCCGTCTGTCCGTATGTATGAACGCGTCGATTTCAGAAGATATAAGAGCTAGATACCTCAAATTGTTGGTAAAATGTCCGTATTTACAGCGCGGATATCAAGTTTATCACTACAAGTCGATAACTCATCCCGATCTTTTTTTATCGATAAAAAACCATATCAAAAGCTAGTTATTTAATTATATCTCCTACACCTTTAGAGCTATAGCTTGCAAATTTTAAATGTATGCTTATATGCATTTCATATAATTTCGGTGTTTGTTAAAATTTACCCCCACCACTATATCCACCCCTTGGTGGAGCAGCTCAACTCCCGGAGCCATGGGTAAGCCGCAAACATGGCGAGGTTAATTTTTATCTTTTACAGATTCTTTCGGGACATGGGTGCTTTTAGAGCTACTTAAAGCGCTTTGGCCACGAAGAAACCGATGAATGCTCTTGGTGCGGACGGGGTCTGGTGGAGGACGCCAACCACGTCTTATTCGCATGTGGACGCTTCCTAGAGGAGAGGCGTTGTCTGGAAGAAGCAGTGGGCCTCTCCCTTAGAGCGAACAACATGGCCAACGTTATGCTGGAATCGGAGGCAGCTTGGAAACTTATAAGCACCTTGGCGGCCACAATTATGATGGAGCTTCGCAGAATCGAGCGAAGACGAGCTGTCCCCCGAAATTGTATAAATTGCATATAAGTCTACAAAGTTAAATCTACAAGTTATTGAAACAGATATATGATAATCAACGTTTAATTTTCCAGGCACAGAATGATCTTAGGTCTAAAAAGGTAGAAAATGGATTGATAACTAAACTGCGAGAGCTATCAGAGAACTTCAATGTCCATATGCGTGCTCTCAGTAGTCTGGGCACAACAGAGCAGATAGCCAGTGCCACGATTGCTCAGATATTGCCACAGAAGCTTGATGTGGCCTTAAAGTACTCCGCTTCCGACCTATCCAGTTGCACTCACAGGCGATATTTTCAAAATTTATATTTGCATGAAGGTAACGGAGATGATGAGTTATAAGTTTTCAAGCTTTATACAGTCACATATGAAACAAAACCAACGTGCGCGCCATGCACCAGCGAAAGTGGTGTTCAAGTCATCCCATGGTACTGCACTGTGACAAGGAATCATAATCAATCATAAACTTCAATGATGGCAGCAACATTACAAAGACACTTGGTCTTGCATGGGATCCAGCATGTGATCAACTTGTCTTCTCATATATGACTCTGAATCGAACCCCTAAGCCCTCCAGTCGCTTTTTTCTCTCATCTATTACTCGGTTTTATGATCCCCTCAACCAGGTTCGCTTAGTAATAACGACATTGAATCTCGGTGCTTGCCAGATTTCGATAACAGTACCACGTCTGCTGTATAATTTCGTCCAATTCTCGTTCAAGAAGTTATGAACGTAATCAATGGTCTTCAAATTAAGAAGTCTCACGGATTAGACTTCATTGACAACTGGACAATTAAAGCACTTCCCTTGAAGGCGTTTCGCAGTCAGCACTCCACGAAACAGCAACTTGGTCGCGTCACTCAATTTATAATGGAGGCTTACTCTCAGGACTATCTACAATTCTTAAGAAGCTAATTATGATTATTTGAGATTATTTGAGGTAGAGGCGTTTCGAAAGACAGTGCCGGACCATCAATTTGGCTTTCGCAGTCAACACTCCACGGAACAGCACCTTGGTCGCGTCACTCAATATATTATGGAAGCTTTTGAGGGCAATTGTTACTACTCGGTTGTCTATCTGAACATTTCTGAAGCTTTTGATCAAGTCTGGCACTCAGGGCATCTATATAAACTAAAGAATTTACTGCCTAATGTGTTTAATATTCTATATATTTATATCAAAAATCGGACATTTATAGTGGAATGTTTTGATGGTACACGATCAAGTAATAAACAAATCGCTGCGGTGTTCCGCAAGGAGGAGTATTTAGCCCAATACTATACAATTTCTACACTGCGGACATACCATTACCAGACATATCCAGCGCTCGACGCTCAGCTTCACGCAGCACCTCAATCGTTATCTCAATACTTTTCACGAATGGACCAAAAAGTGGTGTATCAAACTTAACTATTCCAAAACAGTTCATACATTCCTTAAGACATGTACAATATGATCACCAGAGTGTCATCACAATAGCAGGTAACCATATTGACAGCAAAACTGGCCATAGATATTTGAGCGTACCATTGGATAACAAGCTGTTGTTAGGGATTCATATCAATAATGTAATTGGTAAGCTTAAAACCAGAATTAAGCTAGATAATTGGAGCTAGAAGTAACGTGCCACTAAAACTTGAAATCGTGTTATATAAGCTGCACTGCAGTCCACACGTGTTTATGCGTACATGCCAGTGTGTGTCTGTGTGTATTTCTTGTGTAAGCAGAAAGACGTGAATAATTATCGAAATATCAGTTCCTCGAAGGTTTCAGAGGATCTCGTAGTCGAGCAGTCTCTAGACTAAAGTAGACCAGCCTCTAGTCTAGAGCTTTATCGCTTGTATAATGGTTTTGGTAATGTATGTAACAGGCAGAAGGAGGCGTGGCAATGCCCATAAAGTATATATATTCTTGATCAGTGTGACGAGCTGAGTCGATTTAGCTCTGTCCGTCTGTCTGTTCGTTTGTTTGAACGCGTCGATCTACGAAGATACGCACATATCGAGTTTTGCTTCAAATATCGATACCTTGCCCCGTTTTTTTGCTATCGATTAAAAACATTATCGAAATCCATTAATAAATTGATATCTCCTACATCTTTAAAGCTAGAGTCACCAAATTTTTAATGTAGATTTATATGTACTTCGATTCGATTTTGATTTATGTGTATTTCGATTTTTGTCAAAAAAAAAAAAAAAAAATAAGAGAAAGTTAACGAATTGAAGTCAAATAGAAATTAAATCAATTTGAAGCCTGACACTAAAAATTCTCAGAGTCTCAACATCACCCCACTTTAGAGGTTTTATTAACTATCGATAATCCTCTCTCTACTACTCCAATACCTTCTAAACTTAGTCGCTGTTATCGTAAATGCAATTTCGTTTTGCTTAACGAATTAATTAATTCAACAGACTGGTCTATTTTATATGAGTCGGTTGATATTAATTTAGCATCATCGTTTTTTTATTCTACCTTAAACTCTATTCTGGATGTTTGTGTCCCTCTCCGCCGTATTTCGCCAGTTTCAAATAAGCCACCTTGGTTCACCAAAACTCTTTTGAACTTGAGAAACATTAAAACTAAATGTTTTAAAAATTACAAAAAGTCTAGTTCAAGTATTGACTGGTCCAAAAATTCCATTGCCAAGTCAATCAATCTTTTCAATTCTAGCTGTTATGAGAATTATCTTACACGTTGCAAACATCAGTTTACTCGAGATCCCAAACAATTTTTCTCATTTGTAAACTCGAATCGTAAATCTTCTGGTTTGCCGTCCTCATTTGTCCTTGGAGTTGAAAAAACTTTCAATGATCAGGATTCCTCTGATCTATTTGCTGATTTTTTCAATCCACTTATTCTTCTGCTGATCTCTACAGCAACTCATATCCATATTCACTTCCTGAATATGGATCTATAAATACCCCCAAAGTTACTGCATCCTCTCTGGCTGCAGCCATTAGGACATTGAAATCATCTTTCTCTCCTGGTGCCGATAATATTCCTAGTTGTGTGATTCAAGAGTGCAATGTTTCTCTTCAGTCACAATTACTAAAATTGTTTAACTTGTCCTTGGATACTTCTGTGTTCCCTTCAATTTGGAAAGAATCTTTCATCATTCCCCTATATAAACAAGTAAGAAGACTCTAGTCGAGACTGCTCGACTAGGAGATACCTTGAACCCTCTAAGCTGATATTCTAATAATTCTGCACTTCTTTTATGCACACATACATACACATGCATCCACACGCACGCATAAGCCTGCGCTCTGCTAACTGCGCAGTAAGCAGCGACTGCGCTTGGGCTGCGCTGCAGTGTGGGCAACATTGTAAGAATTTATTTGTTGAATAATTTAATTTCTAGACGTACAATCTTAATAAAACTTTCAGAACATAATTATAATGTTTAAATGTATATACATTCCAAAGCACA